AGAGAGAGAGAGAGAGAGAGAGAGAGAGAGAGAGAGAGAGAGAGAGAGAGAGAGAGCGCAGCCCCCTAATTTCTTGCTAATGGGGTGATTAATATACCTGGCTGAATTATAAGGACGTAAGATAATGAATACTTTTAGGAGCTAACTGGGCCCAGTTCTGATTTTAGAGACAAAAAGAAACCTTTCTGGCTGCAAGAGGCCAAGCCAGGTCCATGGAGGGAGGGAAGGAGGGCACTTCTCCCACCCCCTGTGCCACGAGGAGGGTCCCGGGCTTTGGAAGAAGCCCAGGGAATCCACCACAGGCAGGAAGCTCCCTCCACACAGAGGCAGGGACCCCAGGAGCTTCCCAAGACCATGGGCTGGTTCATGCCCAAGGCCCCCCTTGAGCAATGGCAGACCCCCATGCCACCTCCCAGCAGAGAAGGAGAAGGACCGAAGCTTTTCTGGAGCTCTTCTGGTCTTCTCACAAGGTCTGGGAAGAGAGGGCTTGCAGAACAGGCCAGCACCCCTGGCACTCCAGGTCCAGACACACCTTCCCTGCCCTGATGGGTCTTACCTGGGTTCATGGTTTCCTCTTGACTTGCCAATCCCTAGGAGAATGGGAAGAAAAGCCGAAAGTCAGCTGGGGGCTGTGGGAAGGGAGGGAGGAGGGAAAGGAGGAAGAAAGGAGGGAGGGAGGAAGGAAGGAGAGGAAGAGGGAGGGATAAAGGAGACATGGGAGGAAGGAGAGGGAGGGAAGAGGGAGGAAGTAAGGAAGGAGATGTGGGAGGGAGGGGATGCGGAAGGAAGGAGGGAAAGAGGGGGAGGAAGGAAGGAGATGTAGAAGGAAGAAAGGAAGGAAGGAGTGGAAGAGGGTGGGCGGGAGGGAGGAAGGAAGGAGAGGGAGAGGGAGGAAGAAAGGAGCTGTGGTAAGTAGGTAGGGAGTAAGGAAGGAGAGGGAGGGAGGAGAAGTGGAAGGGAGAAAGGAGAGGGAGGAAGGAAGGAGATGTAGAAGGAAGAAAGGAAGGAAGGAGTGGAGGAGGGAGGGAGGGAGGAAGGAAGGAGAGGGAGGGGGAGGAAGAAAGGAGCTGTGGTAGGTAGGTAGGGAGTAAGGAAGGAGAGGGAGGGAGGAGATGTGGAAGGGAGGAAGGAGAAGGAGGAAGGAAGGAGATGTAGAAGGAAGAAAGGAAGGAAGGAGTGGAGGAGGGTGGGAGGGAGGGAAGAAGGAAGGAGAGGGAGGGAGGAGATATGGAAGGGAGGAAGGAAGGAAGGTTGGAGGAGGCAGGGAGGAAGGGAGGGAGGGAGGGAGGAAAAAAAGAAAGAGAAAGAAAGAAAGAAAGAAAGAAAGGAAAAGAAAAGAAACTGGGAAAACACCTTTTGGAGGAAGGCAGAGACAGATCAATTCTGCATTACTGACAAGAAACTCAGGCGGTGACATTACTAGGGATCATATTAGATAAGTCTTTACTTCCTCACAGTAGTAGCTTACTTAAACTGGTCAACTACCGTAAGTAGGGTCAAGTTTAATTATTCCACTAATTAGGCCTATTAATTATTATCTTTCTAGGTGGTGACCACCAAAGAATGCCCAGACTAGACCAGAAGCCCCAGTCCAAACACCTGCGGTGGGA